TTGTCGCCATAGGCTCGTGCAGCTCCGCTGCCGCGCCATTGGTTCGTTTTTAAAACCCTGCAGGAACCAATGGCTGTGCAGTTTCACTGCGTGAATTAAATAGGCTTCAGTTCAGGAGAAAAAATGCTTTTTTCCCATATGCGTCTAGCAGACGCAGTACGAGTGAAGTATCGAAAGGGAACCTGTTAATTGGTTAATGTAAGTTTACTGACTATATACGGTAAAAAAAAAATTAATGGCATTTCATGTAAATGTACAATAAAATACTGTTAAATGTCATAATTTAAAGACATTATAATTTAAATTGACAATCCCACAATTTCAATTTTACTTCACATTTGATGTAAATATTAGTTGAAATAAATTTTTATTTTTTTACTGTCTTTTTTTACAGTGTACTTTTATCAGATGACAATACCATGATACTTTCTATATACCATAGTGCCATTTTCATATAAAATTAAATTAATTGGCACAATGATATAGGAATAAACAGACAATATTTTGACTTTTCCCAATTATTTACTCATGTGGCACAATAATGTTTCTTTATACTATAATGCCATATTCATATAATTTGAAATTAATTGACACAATGATATAGGAATAAACAAACAATATATCAACCTCTTTAGCAACTTTTTTCAATTACTTACTCATGTGGCATTATAATGTCTTTCAGTAAACTTAATTTGGGGGCTTTTCTAGATAGATAGATCGATAGATCGATAGATAGATAGATAGATCCTTGTGTTGATTCAGTTTTATAGCACTAATGTTGCAGAAAGCAACTGTTCATATGTTTTTTTTTGAGAGAGTCACTTAAATGTGATTTATGCAAATGCTTTTTTTTTAAACTGTGAAAGATAAAAACAGAAACAGTGAATTGCTAAGATAGACCGAAATATATCTGCACAAGTAAATGCAAAATAATTATGCTAGGCTACTCATTTGTGCAGATGGGCATTGATGTGTTTTTCCATTCCAAATTTTCTTTATTCCTAGTTCCTGATTCTGTGCCTGGACAGATGATTCATGCGACGGCGGTGAATCTAAATCCGTGGGTAGATTATGAATTTAGAGCTGTGGCTATCAACAACGTGGGGGTGGGGGAAGCCAGCATGCCATCCGAACCCGTTCGCACCAAAGCTGCAGGTAAGCGTTCATCCCTCCCGATTCCATATCTGTCATCTCTAATACATCAGGAAGGAGAAAATGTAATTTAATTCTATAATTAGTTTAAATCACCAGGAGTGACTCCTCGTAATAGAGTTCAGGCATGAGAAATAAACACTCGTGCATTCACATCGGCTTTCCTGGGAAAATCCAAATTGCAAAATAATTTACAGAAAATTAGGACACAAATTAAGTGCGCCGAAATCGGAATGGCATCACAGAAGGCCTGGCGTTTTTAGTTAATTAATTTAAAACCGCAGGAAAATGTGGTTGCATGGAAATTTAGAACAAAATAAACATAGCTCATGTAGCTATATTCTTTAACGCAAGATCCGACCCTGCTGCGCTCAGCGGCTGGACATCAGCGATCAGGAAATGCAGCTATTAATAATTCATGTCGACATCAACAAAAATTGAGTGGACTTCTCCCGTATTCTGAGGCAGTAACACTTGAAGGGCTCTATTTTAAGCTCAGGTACTGTGTGCAAATGCTTCGATCACTGATTCACAAATAGACGCAGGCTTCATCACACAGTCCCAAGTGAAAATGACATGCAAACAGCTGTTGTCTTTCAGATCCCAATTATTCAGCAAATAAAACTTCAAAAAGAGACACAGTGCATTTGCTAGGATTTTACAGTATTTAACAGCAATATCTGTACTGTGAAATCAAAGATATAGGTCATTTTCTGACATAATTACTGATAAAAAGTTAACATATTGTACTGTGGGACAATAGTGTAAATAGTTATGAAGTGTAAATAGTCATAATTATGGTTATTAGTCTTCCCTTTGGCTGGGGAATTGGGCATTATTTACTTTTAATTTATTTTCATCCAGACAGTGTAATATGTTACAATAGAATACTGTTCACACTATGAGAAGATAATATGTAGCAATATTTAGTGACTGACTCTATATATACATATGTATATATGCAAATACGTAATTTATTCATAATTATTCAGTACTATGCACATTACATTAAACAGTGCTGAGTAGTAACTGATTACATGTAATCTGGATTATGTAATCAGATTCCAAAAATTAAGTACTTGTAATTAGTGTGTATTACATCTTAAAATGTAATACATTTTTAATTCAACAACAAGATGGCACCGCAAATGGCAGCCAGGACGCTGAGCTCCGCGATTCTTCTGTTGTTTTTGTTTGTTTGTTCTGTGTTTTGTCATTCTTCTTCTATAAGTTTTACCAGAGACGAACTCCTTAACATTAAGCAACACATCCCAGCCAATATTTTTCCGGTTTTTGATTATTCGGACGTTTTGTTGGACATTCTAGTCGGAGGTACAGCTGTGTTGTTCAAACGCGCGTGCAGACGCAGAAGAGGGAAACGCGCCGGCACCCTGGTGAAGCTCCGCGTGCGCGGCTTTCGGACTGCGCTCCCAAGCATTCATCTCGCGAATGTCCGTTCCCTTCCTAACAAAACGGATGAAATTCTGATTCTGATTCTGATTCTGAAAATGCTCCTATTGTGATTACAGTTACTTTTTATGGACTACACGATTACATATTATTCACACAATGGCTGTAAATTATTCATGATGAAAGTCTGGACAAAAAAACATTTCAAACCTGGACGACTTTGGGTGTGTACTGTTATTGTTGTTTTCATGTTTATTAATGTTAATCCCAAACTTTTTGTCAGCTGAACCCGTAAATAAAATATACTGTACTTAAAATATCTCTGAGGAAGTTAATATTTCAGATAATTTAACAACACATTCAAATGTTTACAGTTCTCTAATGTCGCTTAATGGTCACATTGATAGGCAGGTAAACAAGTAAAATATTTATATTTTTAGTGTTCAAGGGTTTCATTTATTTTTATTGTACATTTTTTAGATTTAATTCATTTTTAGCTTTTTGTCAAAGCACAAAGCTACTGCAGTTCTTACTTTAACCCCAGTTTGACAAACCCTTGTATAATGTAAAGTTTAATGCTTTTTATGATGTTGATATAAAAAATGGAACGTTTTATTTTTCTTTACTTTTTTATATGAATATGATATGTTTAATGTAAGTTTAAAACAAGTTTGATAAAAGCAATCTAAAAGTAATCTTAAACGTAGTTGAATTACATTACCTAAAATGAGTACGTTACTAACTACAGTTTTTATCATGTAATCTGTAATCAGTAACGGACTACAATTAGTAAGTAATCTACCCAGCTCTGACATTAAAACTTCTTAAACTAGCTTGAAATTTTTATATTTGCTGGTCTTAAGTTGGTCTAACTGGTCTCCAACCCTACCCAAGCTGGTGTTCAGCCAAAAAAGTCACAAAACCCCACTAAAACCAGGCTGAGAAACATATGCTAAGACCAGACAACCATTTTCATCAGGATACTGAAAACTCTACAGGTTGCTACATTCTACCTCATTCAGATTCTTTGAACCATTTTCAAAAGACCATTGAGCCGCACCTCAGGAAAAGGAAGTGTTGGGATTTGCCGCCAATCCCACAGGTATAAAGTCTGTTTCTTGTGTTCTGTTGTCTGTTCTCTGTTCTGACTGGCAGATCCTGAAGTCGCCCCAGCTAACGTGAGTGGAGGTGGAGGAAGCCGAGGCGAACTGGTGATTGTTTGGGAGGTGAGCTCAGCGTCTTTATTGTGACAGGAGCGTTTACAAACCAGTCTTCTCTTGTGAATTGGATTCTGAGGGAATTCTCCACGGTGACGTGGTTTAAATTAGACAAGGTTTAATTAAAAGGCAGCGCTGTCGTCTTTGCTCTTTGCCTCAGTGGGATTGCTCCCTTTGGTATGTAAATCATAATGAAGACGCAGATATGAGACAGCTTTCATACCAGTAAATCTGAAATGACAATGTTTATCAATGGCTTTCTCTTAATCTCACCGGCTGTCACGGCAGATATTCAGCGGCGTGTTTAAATACAGTATTACTTTCAAAATATGGCACATTTTTCACTAAGTCCAGAGGTTTCTTGACTGACACAGTAGTGCTTAAATCTGTCAACTTTATTTACTTATATTTACTGGATTTCAGATTATGTAAGCAACAATGTAAACCTACCACGGAAAATTACTTGTCAACTTGCAGTAATGTAACGCCATGTCAGCTGAATGATTTTCTTTTAATGCATTTTTGAGGGACTAATAGTAATGCTCATACTTTGAACAACCCTATTACCCTCTGAAACTTTGCCTTGTAAATCGTCCCGCATCGTTTGTGCTACAGGCATGAGTGACACCTTAAATAACGGGACTTGTTGAGGAGAGCAGCACTTGCTGTTGTTTTTTTCAAAGCGTTTGTTATTATAATGATAAAATTACTCATATAGTTAGCTCCGGTGCTTGAATCTGATTGGTGCCCACTTTTTCAGCAGCATTGGCTCCTGTAAAAAAAATTTCATACATTTTTTTTCATAGGGATGTTTAAAAGAGTCTCTGTTAAAGCCGTGAACCAACCCAACCAGCTACAAGGAGAATACAACATTATAAAATTTTATTTGAAGCAAAAAAGTATTTGAAAATTAGACAAAGGTATAAGGTATGTGTACTTAAAAAACTTTAGTGAAGGAAAGAACAACAATCCCATGAAGCAGAGAACTGCAATCCCATAAAACAATTAATTTAAAGTTGTCAATTATATCTATAGACACAATATATTTATTGCAAAATATGCATATATGTATACAAATATTTCAATTTTTATGTCAGTCATGGTGCATCATGGGAGAAGCTTTTTTGGTGTGATTTGCTGGCCAACTATCTGATTGGTGGAGATTTCTGCACAGCATTATGGGTAATGTAGTTTTTCATCATGCATTCTGCTGTTAAACGATTTGATCAGGTAATAAAAATATTTTAGTAATATTTTTATTCTTGTAATATTAAATATTTGTATGCAGATTTTGCAACAAAATGCTTAATGGGATTGTAGTTATTTCCCTCATTAAAACCGTTAAATACGTGTAAGGCGCTTTGGATGAAAGTGTCTGCCAAGTGCATGAATGTAAATGTAAAACCACAGGAACGAAACAAGTGACTTTCTTTATTGAATCACATAACATTTTTTAATTCTCATTTCTCACAGCCTGTGCCAGAGGAGCTACAAAATGGAGAAAAGTTTGGCTACGTGGTGGCATTTCGTCCACTTGGCACCACAACATGGAAACAAAGCGTGTTGGCCTCAGCAGATGCATCACGATACATTTATAAAAATGATACCTTTCCACCACTCACTCAGTTTGAAGTAAAAGTCGGCGTCTACAACGAGATCGGAGAGGGACCGTTTAGCCCCGTGGTCATTGTATATTCAGCAGATGAAGGTTAATATGCTTGTGTTCTGTGTTGATTGTATGCAAATTGTGCAAGGACATTATTGGACATCGTTTAGGAATGACAAAAGTTGATGGATCCGTTTCAAGTTTTAATTACACTCCCTCTACAGCTGTGTTAGTGCACTTTGATGGTAATTTTTTTATTCGCTAGTGTGCTAACAGCGCAATTAGTTCTTGCAAACAGGTGGTATATTTAAGCACCAAAGACTGATGTTGGATGACTCCTGTAAACTGTCTGTTCTCATTACCTGTTGTTTTTCACATTCTTTCCCCTTTTTTGATATGTCTGACATCAACAGAACCCTCAGTAGCTCCTCCCAGAGTCTGGGCCCGCACTCTGTCCGCGTCTGAGATTGAGGTATTCTGGAAACCTGTTCACCAAAGTGGCAGCAAAGGACAGATAACAGGCTACGAGGTACATAAACACCATAAATGGAGGGAGGGAAAAAAAGAGGCTCTGACCTCACACTGCATCACCTCAATCAGATTCCTTAATGTATGCACTGTGCTGATGGCAGGGTGTGCAATTTCCTGTTCGCCAACAAGAGTCTGCGATCCCCCGGCCACATTTTTCACAATCTCATCTGCAGAATGAAGAGGTCTTCTCACAGCTGGTCCTGTCTCCCGGGGAGCGCCAATACCCAGGCTTTCTGGGCACTTATATAAATCACCTTTCAGATGTGTAGACATCATACATCAATTTCCCCTCCTGCAAACACTTCAGCTGCTAGGTCGTTTCTCACTGTGTGAGAAACCCACAGGATTCTGCCCATTTCTCTCCTTCCAACCCGAACGAGCCTCTGTGAGAAATCCCAGGTCACAAGGTTGTTCCGTGGAGAAACCACAAAGTCGTTCACAGCTTCGGGTAGTAAAAAAAAGCACATATGAAAATCCACAAATACTTCCAGAGTCCCTTGCTGCGTGCGGTGTGCAGATGTTTATTGAACGTAGTAAAAAAAGAAACCGAGTCACAGTGACTTTGTTACAGAGTTAGTGTATCGAACGCTAATACAGGAACAAAAATTACATTCTTCTCAAGTCGATTTCTTAGCTGCGAGGTTGGAAGCACGCTTACTCAAGCAGAAACATTATGCTCATTCAAACATTAAAATTAATATATATGTGTGTGTGTGTGTGTGTATTAAATGTGACATATCTTTGTTTCTTTCCTTTTCAACTTATTTTGCATAAAATGTTCATATTACATAAGCAATTTCTCTACCATTTGACCACTTTTAAAAGTACTTTCAAAGTATTTTTTATCTATTTATATATATATATATATATATATATTCTTTTTGCGAGCTGCTAGATGGAGAACTTCAATTAATTATTTATTTATTTATTTATGTGTTGTAAAAAGTGAAATGACTTATTGTCTCTTTAAATGTCACGTCACTATTACAGGTGCAGTGGTTGGAGGATGGGTCACCTGAAAGCGATGCAGAGAGAGTAAGGGTCACGGAAAGCTAA